GAACCCTCATAAATAAAACCCAAATTGCTACTTGGGAAGCTCCCTTCCACTATCTTCACTGGAGATTTCCAATTGTTAGTTCGGCTTTGTAACTGCGACAAATATTCTGTTATCCAACGATTCCAAAAATCTTGCAGCTGACGTTGTACTAGCTGCCAACGATCTAGTCTATTCAAGTTCGTCGAAGTAAGATCGGGATCCGGTAACGTTCGATCCGCCAGGTCTACTGGATCATCGGATATGGGTGTCAGTGGCCGAGAACTTAGGCATCCTTCGACCTGGGGCAGCAACGTGCGGAAATCTTCTGTAGAAACAGGAATTTCTCATAGTTGAAGATGCTAATTTCAAATAACAGACTAAAGTGGTAATTTTTATACGATAGATGAGGAGATGAAAGTATAGAATTGATAGTTCCGTTTAGAGTACGGCAGTGTGAAAATTGCATATAGAAGTAGAAAGCGAGCTAGACAACTTTTAGGAAGGTACAAATCAGTTTTTATCATCTCTCTTTACCAAACTCCCCTTTGGAGAGGGATGGTGAATGGTGTCCCCCCCCCCCCGCCACCACTGGCTAAAAGAGATGTGTTTGAAAAAGTTCTACCGATTTTTACCGCACTCCAGTTGTTATCTGAAGGAAGGCATCCAGTCGTAGGTTTTGAAATTGCAGCTATTGTTACCTCTACCACGGTATGTGTGGAATTTCTCCAAGGACAAGAACCAACTAATATTTCGCCGACTGCACAGCAGCCTCCCACAAACCGCCAAAGTGAGGCGCTCCTGGTGGGATAAAATGGTATTGTACACCTTCTCGACAGCATTGGTTAGTAACGGTTTCACGATGTTCATGATCTCGCAGCAAATTGAATAATTCCGCTAATTTATTTTTAGCTCATACTCTGCCCTAGACTGAAAGTCTCTTTAATAAAGAAAACTATGCTGAACTAACCTTTTAGCTCCTACAAAATTAGTGCCGTTATCCGAGTATATGTCGGTGCATCTACCACGCCGGGCAAAGAATCGCCGTAATGCTTGCAAGAAACATTCAGTAGAAAGATCGGAAACGTGCTCTAGATGGACAGCCTTGGTTGCTATGCAAACAAAGACCGCTACATACGACTTGATCGCCGCTCGACATCTACCGGCCTTGGTGTATACCGGGCCGAAATAGTTGATTCCAGTTTTAGAAAAAGGCCTTGCAACAGTTACTCTTGCGGAAGGAAGTTCACCCATTTGCTGTTCAATGCGAGTTGGTTTTGCTCGAAAACAACGTAAACAACGATGCACTATTTTTCTGGCTACATTTCTGCCACCGAGTGGCCAAAACCGTTGTCTTACTGCAGGAATCAGAAGTTGAGGTCCTTCATGAAGCAATTTCAGATGATAATGACGCAAAATCAGCGCAGTTAGATGATATTTCGCAGGAAGAACCATGGGGTGTTTCGCTGAGTGAGATTCATCTGCATGGGTCAACCTTGCACCAACATGGAGAATTCCGTCGTCCATGATCCGTGGATGGAACCACCGCAACGGTGAGTTTCGAGCTACCGAGTAGCCAGCCTTCAACGCCGTAATCTCCACGGAAAAGTGTTCCAGTTGGACTTGTCGTACGAGCAGTTCCTCCACTTGTTGCACTTCTAGAAACGTCAGAAAACCTCTATTCCATGTTCCGCTCTTATGTAGAGTCGCAATCAGTCGTAGCCAGTAAGCTGTAGATCGTAGAAGCTTGTTATAATCCGAAAACTTGAGAACATAATCCGAAACAAAAGAAGTCTTCTCTGCCGTACTTGGATCAGCTGTCTTCCGCATTTCTAGGGGATATTGTTCTACGATTGGGTCCGATATCCATTGTTCCTTTGGGTTTTTTCAACCAGCTTGGCCCACTCTACCATAATTCGTTGTTCAGTATTTCGTTTGGAAGAATGCCACTAGAGATTAAATCTGCAGGATTAGTCTTCCCCGACACGTGACCCCAGTTACAGCCTTCCGTCAAAGTTTGGATTTTGGAAACCCTATTTCGCACGAAAGTAGTTCATGTGGCTGGAGGTGATTTGAGTCCGTCCAGAAGTGTACTTCAGCTTCCGTGTTCGTGGCACCTAATACGTTCTCCCAAAGCTGTGCTACTAAGAGTGCGCCGCACAACTCCAAGCGTGGCAAGGACTGTACCTTTAGAGGAGCGAGCTTCGACTTTGATGTTAGTAGATGAACGGTAACAGTGCCATCCCTTTCTTCGCTTCGCACGTAGACTGTTCAGTATCATTTTTACCGAATCAACTGTACTGTATTTTCTGAATTAACCATAAACATTGTTATTTTTATTGACTAATTAACTGTTTTTTTTTTTTTATTTCACCAAACTGAAAAATTCATTCCATATTAACCATATATTTTTGTAGAGGCATTTTCATCTTGCATTCGTACAAAAAAATATTAAAAAAAAAAATTGTAAGGAACCCGGACGAGATTATCGACTCAGTAGTAAACCGTGCAGCAATTCACTTTTTGTGGTTGAAGAGGACATTGAATCACTTAACGCCTAACGTCTGAAAGAAATTGCCCCAAAAATGAAAACTTATTATATTTTCGGCGTAAACTTTATTGCTGTTTGCTTTTGTAATTCGTCACATTTTTTTACGGAATCGCAGCCATTTTACTGTTTCAGTGAGCAAATTTTATCTACAGTATTCGGTAAGTTTATGTCAATTACGGAAATTCTGCAGTTCTAATTGCGGAAAATTGGTAAAATAATATTTATTACAAAGCATTCGGTAAAAAATATATTTTACCGAACAAATCCAGCAAAAAAAGTACCGAACAAGTTATAATAAATTTGGTGTGTATACACTTAGAAATTATCGCCGACTTCGGTAGTTTTTACCTAAATCTGATCAGCTGAAATGTTCTGTAAAATTTATGCAATTTAATTCAATTACTTTTCAGTTCCTTTGAAACTAAATCTACACTATAATTACAAGATTTGATCGTTTAAACAAGGTTGAAGGTCAAAGTTTAACCGAACGTTCAGCTGTTCTGATTTTGGTAAAATTTAGCGAACACGAAAACAAAATCTTAGCGTATACACTCTAATACAGGCCGGAGTCGGTAATTTCCAAACTACGGTAATCAGTGAAGAAAAAAAAATATGAAATTTGTTCTTAAAGTTAGACTTTTTTCAGTTAACCCCATTTAATGATAAACAATAAAATTTTACCATTTTGTTGATTTCTTACGTGCAACGTTCATGAGAAATTTTACCTACTTTTTCAGCTGTTCATTTCAGTGAATTCAGTGTGTAAAATATTTTACCCAACTGATGATAAAATAGAAAAATGTGTTTACATGTGAATTTTCTTAAGAATCGCAGGAAAAATACTGATTTTTTGTGCAATATTTTTAGAATGGTCTAAACGCGTCAACATTCTTCTTTTATTTTCGTGGCGGTAAGCTTGGCGTTAAAATTGTATTGATTAACACTCCAATTGTGAACGAAATGATTGGCTTATGTTTGCACGCATCGCGAGTAGACGAGAATATCAAATCAATATCAAGTTTAAGATACAAATTGGTTAACAAAACATCATAAATTACTATTAATTTGATTGATATAAGAGTTACAATATCAAAAAATCAATGGAACCATAACTGAGTAATAACAAAGTCTGTTGTTGCCATATCCGGAAAATAGCAAAAATCGTAGCAAATTAATATCACATTTTGCTATTATATGCTAATATGTACAGTAGAGTGATAATGTTTGAACCAAAAAATAAATAAGGTGAATACGGAGGTTATTTGAAAAGGCTCAACTGTCTACAAAGCCGAAAGTCTATACAATCTATTTAACAAATAATGCAAACACTATTTATAAACAGTATCGTGAAGTGTTCTTCTGATACCGTGTTCTTTCTCCTGTGTTCGCAACTTATGTAATTCTTCCGACCGTTGTTCCCTTATCGGTGCCAGCTACTTGGCCTCCTCTTCATACCTTTTCCGCTCTCTCTCCATCTAGTCTACACACTAAAATTTTTTCGCCGAGATTCCAACAGCCGAGTAGTTCTGCAATTTATATTGCTGAGACTCAGTAAAACAATTGCCGAGACTCAGCTAACAAATAACATTTTGCTGAAATATCAGCTAGCAAACAGATATTTTGCAGAGATATCAGCAAAAGTAAATGCCGAGGTAATCGGCTGTAGGAGATTTTACCGAGCTAGATTAAGTGTGTACAATACCAAAATTAAGACTTACGTCTACAATACCAAAATCGGTTCTTATATACTATAGATTCTATTGTTATTTCATCGTTGTGGACGATACGATTTATTGTAAATAATATTGTTACAATTCGCTTCATTGTTACTCTATGATATTTTTTTACGTGTTACTTTCTCTTCATTGGTATCCGTGACCTCTGGCTGTTCGAACCCTGTATAAACTGCAAAACAAATCTGAACAAAAGCTGAAGGAAACATGCGTAAGCTTTATGCGCCTGGCGCACCTGCAATCCGCAATATGCTGACGGCTGCTTTCCAATGCAGAAGTATTGACAGCGGCTCAGCTGTAGCTAGGGTAAACAACAGCTTCGACAGGCAGTGCTTGTTTTCGGAAACAAAAATGGAATCGATAATATCACTGGATTGTATCACCAACACGCTTCGCTGAATGTATTCAAATGATTCCTTAATATTTCAGCTTCAATCTGATTAGATCACGTTTCAATCTAAAGTTCACGTGACAGAACGGCAGGAAATCCACTAATCTCCAATTATTAGTGTTCTGATTCGAATTATTTAGTTCAAAGCGATGCTTTTAAAACTGTAAATGTTTATTCCCTACAATAGTAACTAAAACATACTTTTCCAGACTTGCTAGGACCCCAAGAGACAATTTGAGCAGCAGTACAACATATACAGGCAAAAATTGCCTTATGGAGTTTACAACTTTTTTCATTCTATTTAAAACGTAATTTAAAAGCTTTCTTTCTTAAACAGTACACGGTAACATCAATCCAAATTATGTAATTACAAACATTTTGTACTAGTCTAGAAGTGGTATTGCTAAACGACGCACGGCTGTGCTATTCGTATTTGGCCCCAACTACACCTTTGGAATACGGTGGATTGCCGTTCGTTTGTAGGTAGTAATCGCCTTTGGCACTAAATGAGAGAGAGAGAGAGAGAGAGAGAGAGAGAGATAGAGGGTAAGAACATTTCTTCCATCGATCTAACAGCTACTGAAAATACTTACTCTGAACTGCAGTCGATACCCATGTGCACTACCTGTGCCGTTCGATCTACCTTACCCTCTTTGAAGTCACTCCAGGACTTACACCGCACCGAGTGGAAACAGCGAGCGGATCCCTCAGCTACACTTTCCGCCCAGAACCACCACGACCGCCGGTGACTGCAGAGATCTGAGGAATAATTTCGTCGGTAATTAAGTTTAAATGGAATCAACGCTAGAGATCATAGAGCAATGCAATGCAGAGTTAAATTTGACTATTGGCTATGGTTACAAACATGCAAAGCTACAGGCATGGGCTTCAGAGGAATCCATCTTGAATGGCACGACTGGATTGGGATGGACTAAGAGGTTAGAGGGTCCCACATGTATAATTGTTAGGAGGTAAATGATAAAACGAAAAACAAAACGAAAAAAAGCACATTTTAGGCTATTATTGCAATTAGTGAAAACCAACCGGTGGTTTACCTCTCGTCGTCACAATCACAACTTACCATTGTCCGTAAGTGGCTTGTAGTTTCTTTTAGGGCAACCAGGCTGTAAAGTTTTACCATTGTTGGGCCAAAAATCGGCCGTACCCGTACTAACTGGGGCTCCATAAAGCCACGCGTCCGTATGGATGACGTCCACGAATTCTGCATCTTTTTCGCTCAAGTGCGTCACAAACACGCCCGGATAAAACGGTGGGAAGGCAGGATCTAGAGCTGAAATTCTGTCGGACGATGATAAACAACGGGTGGATTAGTAAACATTGCATAAAGACTGAGCTAAGTAAGTACCTCTTAAGCTTAAGCTTCTTATCAGACAGTGATATCACAGTTCGGCCAGCGTAACCGGCCAGTTGCCCTCCAAGCGAATGGCCCACGAGATGCAGCTTATCAACGTCTAATCCCGAGTTGATCATCGCAAGTATCACTGAAGCCAGTTTGTGTCCAAGCTGTGTGAGCAAATAGGGTTAATTTCCAGCGATGGAAAATTGCACAGCATATGTTATACCTTTTTGCAATTTGGCACCGCTTCGAGCAGGTAATTCCCTTCGGCTAGCTGCGTCCAATCCAGAATGATCAAGTTGTGATCAGTCCGTTTTTGGTATGCATCCACGATCACGTGTACGCTTTCGACTTCCGGTGATTCGATATACCCGTGGAAGTACATTACCGTTTTCTTGCTGCGATCGAACTTGGCATGCCGCACAATTTTCTCCGCCTGGTCAAGTTCATATACTTCATGGTCCTCGAATTTGGAACTGAAAGAGGAAAAGTAAATACGATCAACAATGCATAAATCCTCTGTTTGTTTGCACAATATCGCCTTACCCGTAGAAAAACATAAACTTTGCCGTCTCCAGTTGTGCTTTGATTGGCTTCATACCGACCCACAGTCCTATGAGGGGGAAAGAGGAAAAAAACAGAAATCGGTAAACATGGAGACATCTATTAGGCAGGAGTAGCGGCCAGAATGAATGGCAGCGATGGGGCAAACAATATCAAAGCGAGCCACTGCGGCTGCGAGAGCAATCAATTGAGCAAATTCCAACCGATTGATTGCCTTGAAGCACATTCTTGCCAAACAGATTGCCGCACATCTTGAACGAGTAGGTACCTATGTATAGAGGAGTGTTCGCTGGGTTTTGTTGTTGTTGAACGTTCAGAGGGAGAATAATTGATTATAATTCTAGCGGTTTGAATTTGATTAGAATCTTCAGGTGTTTGAATGAGTGTTGAGATTGATTTTTTTTTCATCGAACGGCTATTCGGATACTGTTCTGCTCTGCAATTTTTATGAGGCGATATTTCATACTATTTTGTTACTAATAACAGTCTGAAGTTATCGCTGGTATATTAATTCATGGTAAGTTTTGTTCAGATAATACGTTGGCCATACAGTTTCCCAACGTATTTTTTTATGATTGACTCATTAATCTTGCCGCGCCAGAACCTTATTGAAATCACTAATATCAGAAGATCATACACCTTTTATTACTAGATATCTAGCCAAATAAATTTAAATTTAATTTTCCAGGTAGCCGCTAACGTTAAAGGTTTGAGTAAAGACGAATCGATCGATATTGGAAACACTAAATTTCCGGGCTTTTTTCCAAAATCGGACGAACACTTTACTTGTATTCCTTTGTATTAGGGACGACGGGGTAAGACGGTCACCCTAAGCTTGAAATAAAATTTAACCAAAACTGTATAAAATTTCCGCGATAAATTTAGTGAATATTGATCTTTAGAGTAAAGGGTGTATTCGTGGAAAATGGCACACGCATAAACAGCTGTATTTTTTAAAATCTTTATTAGAGTGACTTTCAGCCAGTGGTTGGTTCGTCACTATAAACAGCTGTAATTTTTTAACTATTATACCAAATTACTTGAAATTTGCAGCGAAGAATGTTTAATCCATAACGTATATATGTGATATATATGAGGGTCTGAGCGGTGGTGTACCTCAAGTAGTGATCATGAGAACAAAATGCTGTCTAATACAGTTCCAAATTAGAAATCATCGGTTATGAAAGACAATCCTTTCGTAATTGGGTTCTTTAATTTTGAAAAATTTAACGGTTTTTATACATCATCTTAAAGAGCTTCGTTTTCTGAGCACAGCGATATTTTTTTTTCAAACCCATAGACTTTCATCTCGATTTTTAAATCAAAATTTAAAGCAAAATAATAACTTCACTGTTTGACTCTCAACTAACAAATTGACAGCTCGCCCCCATACAAAGCCCCTGCGAGGGACGCTAAGATGGTGATTTTTACTAATGTAATTGCACTTATTTAAAACCATTCCCGTGTACCAAAAGTGATGAAAATTTGGATTTTGGACCCAATAAATGGATTTCGGCTGGTAGCGATAAATACTGCCAATAATAGTGATTTTAGTGACCACGTTGAAGAAATAAGTGACCAAATAGTGGCTTATAGTTGTAAAAAAAGGGGCCTAAGGATAAAAAATTTGTCGAAAAACCGGGAATTCTCAGAGAATTTTATTTTTCTTGAAAATACCTGGAAGACTCAGGGAGTCTTATCATTATTCATGATATTTAATAATTTTCTTACTAAGGTCTGTACTCGAAAAAAATGCACCAGACAAAAGTGTTCGCCAAAAATTTATTTCAAATCGGATTTTCTTGAAACTTTCAGGGAATGAACTAATACATATGGATTATGTTTCGGCATAATTACTTTATTCAATTTCCTTTCCATAGTTGAAAGCCCGCACCTTTCCCTTAAGATCCCTCATTACATTTTGTGCCGACCTTTTTGGTCACTTTCATCCATTTTTTTTTTCAACTCCAGCTCGTTCTTAAACACCTTGGACGATTTTCGAACTTTGGCCTTCATTATGGCCCAAAATCTTTCCACCGGACGAATCTCTGGTGAATTTGGGGGTTGGCGGTTTTTGGTACAAAAACAACGTTATTGTCTCTGTACCAATCCAACGTCGATCGCGCGTAATGGCATGATGCCAGGTCCGGCCAAAATAATGTCTCGCCTCCGTAGGATCGCAGGAAGGGCAACAGACGCTTCTGGAGGCACTCTGTGCGGTAAATTTCGTTGTTGATGGCACCTATTGTGATGTACGGTTTACATTTTGGCATTGGCATATGGCCTGCCAGAGCAAGTATTTTTTGGCGAATTTGTCCACTTTCTTCTTCCTTATGTCTTCCGGAACATCAAACCGTGATTTGGAAACGTAGAACTCCAGCCCCGGTATCTGCTTTGCGTCTGCCTTGATGAAGGTTTCGTCATCCATAACCACACACATTGGTTTCGTTAACCACTCTCGATACAGCTTCCTTGCGCGGGATATGGCCGCCGTGTTTTGTTGATCACGCCGGTTCGGTGCCTTCCGGACCCTTAATACACGAAACCCAGCTCGTTTCATGGTTTGCTGAACGAACCAGGCGGACGTCGGTCTCTGTTCCGCAATCTAGTGCCAATCACCGACGGACATCGATTGCCATCCATTGACGGCAATCGAATGTGCAGGAAGGCAGCTTCCACACCTGCGTAGGATATCGCACCCATTCAACACACATGGGCCGGTACCAACGGCTTTACTTCCCTTCCGAAGGAAGACGTGACCAGAGATTTTTATGCCTCAGAAAAATCCCACCGACCTCGGCTGGGGATTAAACCCAGACCCATTGGGGTGTTAGAAAGCAGTCACGCTTACCACTACACCACCGGCGCCGGCCAAGGGTGATTCCCAGTTGTCTTCCGATCCATCTCATGGTCGCAGTCGGATTTTCTATGACGGCGCGCAAAATTCTCCGGCAATTTTCTTCTTGTTTCGATGACATCTCAATAGCCACTGAACCGATTGTTATGAAAATTTGCACATGTAAACAATTCACTCCAAACTAGTTATACCCAGATTTTCATCAATTTTTACCCACGCATAAAAATGGTGCATTTTTTTCGAGTACAAGCCTTAAGAATGCATTTTAAAATAATAAAAAAAAAAAAACATTTAATATTCCTAGTTATTTTCATTCACACATTGAACTTTATAGATCTAGAATGGATTAATCTTCAGTAACAAATACATTTTTATAATTCAAGGCTTCAAATGTTTTTTTTTTTTTTGGTTCTAAAATATGCATATTTCTCACAAATTTGATAAATTCTTAACTGAAAAGTTATAATACTTCAAGAAATTTTCAAGAATCTGGAGTCAAATTCCTTGCACGGTTTTAAGGCTCATGGAATTTTATTATAATTTCTAAGGACCTCATTCTACGGGAGTTCTGGGGAAAAAAATCAATGAGAAACACATTAACTGCAATCTACTTTCATGGTAGTTCTGATGAATTTTAGATTTCATGTGAAGCCTAAGCCTAAGATAGTAAACTCCAAGCAAATTTTTAGGAGAAATCTCCGTTGAATATGGAATGGACTTCAGAACTACGTGAAAGTTCCCAAAATATTCCTGAAGTTAATTAAATTACCTTAAATTTCTTTTGTAATTTGAGAAACTAGCCTGATGCTTGCAATACTTCTCATCATTTTTTTTTAACTTCTATAAACTTTTTCGGACTTCCTAACGTTTTCACAATTTTTTCTAACGATCATGAATCTTCTCTTAAGTGTTAAAAATTCTTGAAGTTTTTTTTTTTTTAATTAGAGCTTTATTAGCGAGATATCTTCTCTTAAGTGTTTGCAGTTCTCATGAAGCTTGTTGTACTACCATGAATTTAAATGAACTTTTCTAAAAATGTTTAAGCTTGCGTGGACTTCTGGATTTGTGTAAAAACCTCAATAATTTTCTTAACATCTCTAAAGTTCTCTGAAATTCTGTGAACTTCTTGAAATTTCCCGCTAATTTAGTGAAAGTAATAGAACTGAACTCCCCTGAAGTTCCCTTTGTTTATGGAGCTTTACTAAACTTATTTAAGATGATCCCGAAATGTCCATAAAAGTTCCTGAAGTTCTCGGATCTACCCTTAAGTACCATAGACTTTAATGAAGTTCTCGAAATGTTTCTGAAGATCTCTGTACTTCTGTGAAGTTTTCGAAGATATTCTGAAATTTTAGGAACTTCTGTAAGCTTCCGCAGCTGGATGCCCGCAGACCATTACTTCATCTTCTCGGATAGTCTCAGTTCGATTGAGGCTATTCGGTCGATGAAACCAAGTAGGCACTCATCTTATTTCCTTTCAAAGGTAAGGGGCAGATGAGTGTGCTGGTCGAAAGATCATATATGATTACCTTTGTATGGGTCCCTTCACATTGCTCAATCCCAGGCAATGAGAAGGCGGACTCTCTAGCAAATTCATACTTCTTAAATACCTAGTCTAGAGTTTCCTGATGTTTTTAAAACTGCCCAAAATATTTCTCAATTTCCGCAAAATTCTGTAGACTGCCCTGAATACATTAGAATTTTTTTAAAAGATCTCAGCTTTTACTGGAATTGATTTAATTGCCTTTAAGTTCTACAATTTTTTTTAAAGTTTATAAACGCTCACGGAATTTCTAAGAAGCTCTCTGGAATTTCTTGAGAATATCGGTGCTTGCTAAAAGTTCTCGCTTTTTTATTAATGGAACCTTGTTGATGTTCTCTAATCAACTTAGCTAAATTTCCGATTTTTTTTTAGATCTTGAAATTTCCATGATATAACACCATTGAAATACTCTTAATTTTTCTGGATGTTCTTATAATTTTTATTGCGTTCCAGAAATTTTCTTTGAGCAATCCGAAGTTTCCACAAAATTCCGGTTTCTGAAATTTCCTTGAAATTTTTAGAACTACCCTTTAATTATCTGATCTGTCTTGATGTTATCGGAGCTTCCCTATAACTCTCAACTCTAATAAAGATCTGGGTTCTGCTTTAAAATAAATGGAATTCTCGTAAACACCTTTAAACATCCCTG